ATGCCGTTGGCGATGAATTTTCATTACTTAATGGATTCAGCCTCCAAATCACTAACCTTACCCTTCATCCTTTCGAGAAAGCTTCCTAATTACCATTAAGTACTAAATATTGATGTTTTTCAGTCATGCGTGAGCAATACATGGCTATAGATCAATCTAGGTCAAAAGTGAAGAAAAACACCAATATTTCATGCAAGGTGCTCCAAAATATCAACACACTTTAGATCTAGACTATATGATACTCCAAGGACCTCAAGGATCCATAAAGTTGCCAACTATATTGGATCCTTCCACTTTAACTACATCATCATAACAAAAATAGGACAAAAACCTAGATCTAGAGACATAGAGCAACAAATGTTGAATCTTTATCATTTAAAAAGGTCCAAAATATAAGTTTGGAGATGATGACGAGGCTTGCAAGCTAGATCCACTATCCATGTATGATTCATTCTTCTCTAATACACCAAAATACCAAAAATGCTCAAGATCTTCAACAATAGAGGCTAGGGCTACAAAGAGAGTGAGAGGGAGGTGAGAAGGCTGAGGGTGTGAAAATGCTAGCCATCATATCCATTGAATATGGGCACAAAAATCAGAACTAGGGTTTTGCATAAAATAGACACCACGTTGTGGCCAATATAATGCCACCCGTGGTACTCATCAAGGATGGACGCCCCAAAAACGCACCTCTGTGTCGTAGTGATGCCTCCACCACATCGTGGCCAACCAAAAATCCCATAATGCTTTTAAAATTCATACCTCAAATATCTGGATATTACAACTCTCCCCCACCTGTATCAGAATTTGTAATTGAAGTCCGCAGCCACAAAACAACTCTGGGTACTACTCCTTCATATCCACCTCAGGTTCCTAATTCCACCCAGAACCCTTCTAATGTTGCTATTACACTTTCACTAAGCCCACCACCTTGTTGTGCAGGGTCTTCGTCTTCTTGTAGACAATCACAATTGGTCTCGATACATTGTTTAGGCGCTCATCCACCTGAGCATCCATAGGCACCACTATATAATCATCTGCCAAACATTTCCGCAGTTGAGAGACATGAAAAGTGTTGTGAATCTAGCTAAGCTCATCAGACAAATCCAACCGATATGTCACCTTGACCACTCAAGCAATAATCATGACGGGACCAATAGAGCTACAACCCAACTTTCCCCGCTTCATGAACTAGATGACTCTTTTCCAAGGTGACACCTTCAGAAGCACAAAATTTATGACCTGAAACTCAAGGTCGAGGTCTGATCACTGTCGGTCAGTATAGTTTTTCTGGCGACTCTGCACTCTGCGCAACCAATTGTGCACCTTGTGTATCAAATTGGTAGTCTTGGGTACAACCTCAGTACTCCCTATAACCTAATGTCTAACCTCGCCCCAACAAACTACGGTTCAACACTTCCTCTTGTACAACATCTCGAAGGGTGGTCGATCAGTAATGGCATGCTAACTGTTGTTGTAGGAGAACTCGTCTAAAGGAAGGTAAGTAACCCAACTCCTATCAAAATCCAACTTACACACCCTGAGAATATCCTCGAGCATCTGAATAGTGCACTCACTTTGCCCATCAGTTTGGGGGTAGTATGATGTGCTAAGATGGAACACAGTACCACATTCCTCATGAAACTTCCTCCAAAATATGGAGGTGAAAAGGACATCGTAGTCAGAGACCATAGAAACTGGAACCCCGTGATGAACAACTACCTCCTTGTTTTAGATGTCAGCCAAATTCTTGGGAAAAATGCTCCTAATTATAATAATGACATAAGCACTTTTGGTCAATCTATAAACAATGACCCATATGCAGTCCACTTCACACGTCGTCCTTGGCAATTTAGTAATAAAATCTATGGTAATATCCTCCCAATTCCACATGGGGATGGGTAATGGCTGGATCTTTCCATAAGATCTCTCATGTTTGGCCTTGACTTTCCTTCAAGTCAGGAACCATTCCACATACCATGCTATCTCCCTCTTCATACAGTATCACCAATAACTCAACCTCAGGTCTCGGTACATCTTTGTGGCCCCCGGATGAATCGAAAACTTCAATTTATAAGCTTCTTCTAATAATGTATGCCTAAAGCCCCACCAACAATTAGGACCCAAACCCTACCGCATTGAGTCAGTAGTCCCCGACTATCCCTGAAGAAATGTGAAATATGACCCCCGATCAGGAGATGCTCGCACCTCCTTAGCTATCAACTAAAATGCCCTACTCTTCAACATCAGAGCCTCCGCCTTTCCATAGCGACCATCGGTAATCCTCAATGTAGCTGGTGCAGGCACCACCACTGCTCATCCCGTCAGTCTTAGGCAATCAACCTTTTTATGCCCCCTCTGATTGTAGTGGAACCATATAAGTGCTCAACAAGTACAGTCTCTACTGAAATGGACTGCATGGCCGCATCTGAAACAACCCCCTCCCTTCTCACGACAACTCCCCTCATGATACTTCCCACACTTGGCACAACGGCCCCGACCCTACAAGGTATAAATGTTAGTATATATGTTTTCATATGTATGCATTTGCATTGGTAAGCCCGTGCCACACCTATTAGTCTAGGCCCATTTTGTGTATGTGTGAATGTATATGTTCATTGTAATATCTCGTTGGTGAATCAAGGAACATTATTCCATAATATGGTATCAGTGCACAAACTGGACTCATCCGGACCTCCTGTCATGGACCCCATGCTATATCGCAGTCTGGATGGTGATCTTAGTACTTAACGTTCGCTAGACCTGATATTACTTTTGCTGTTCAACAAATCTCTCTATACATGCATGACCCCAAAGAGCAGCACTTTCGTGCTCGTAAACTCATTTTGCGGTATATCTGCGACACCATTGATCGCAGCCTTTTTAATCATGTATCCCCCATTGCCAATCTCGTTGCCTACTCAGATACGGTTTGGGGAGGTTGTCCGGCGTCACACAGATCTACATCTGGACATTATGTCTTTCTAGGAGACAACCTCATCTCATTGTCTTCCAAACGAAAAAGAGTTGTCTCACGATCCAGTGCAGAAGTCGAGTATAGAGGGGTTGCAAATGTTGTTGCTGAAACCAGTTGGATCTGCAATCTTCTTTGCGAACTGTGTTGCCTTACAAACAGAGCAACCATTGTCTACTGTGATAATATAAGTGTTGTATACATGTCAGCAAACCCTGTTCAACATCAGTGAACAAGACACATAGATATTGACATTGATTTCATTCGAGATCAGGTTGCCAAAGGACAAATCCGCGTCCTTCATGTTCCCTCATCTGCTAATACGCCGACATCTTTATGAAAGAGCTAGTGTATATTTATCGGTATGTATGCATTTGCATTGCTAAGCCCATGCCACACCTATTAGTCTAGGCCTATTTCGTGTATGTGTGATTGTATATATTCCTTGTAATATTTCGTTGGTGAATCAAGGAACATTATTCCACAGTAATAAAATGATAATATTCATTTAAATAATCCGTTGGGTGGCAAGTGAGATTTATTTTTACTAAAGTATAAATATATAGACAGATGGTCGTTTAGGAAGTGGTGGTCAGAATATAACAAAAATGTTATCATTTAAAAAAAAATACTTCATAATCAAGCAAGTAATCTCCCAAAATTTGAACTCTCATATAGAATATTTTTGATAATATACAACATAGTTTTGAATAGTTTCATAAAATACTTTACACTCGTTACAGATATATAAATTATAACTTAGTCGTTTCAGTATTGGATTTCGTTAGCATTTTTAAATAAGACTTATATTGCTGAATCATTTAACTGTTATTTAAATCAGCTATATAATAAGGAACTATATTAGGCTCATTTTCCCAATTACAACACACACACATCCTCAAATAAAGAAACATCTACGAAACTTATTGGTTGAGAACGAACCAATTTATACACCACTAATTAATAATAAATAATTCAATTTACAAACAACAGATTTGAAGTTGAAGGCGTAACTACTTTCTAATTCTGTTCATATCTTCCACACCACTTCCCAACCATTACATTCTCTCTCTCTCTCTAAAACCATTGATTATTTTAACCTGATGCTCCAAATACGCTCTTACATTCTCATAATACTTACTAATTTACATGAAAATGGCTATTGTATTATCCGTTTTTGATTTGCGAGTCTCGTTAAATTCATTTGTAATTGTATAATCAAAATATTGAAATAGTAAAAGAAAATAATATTAATTACTTAGATTCACATATGAATTTAGTCAGATTAATTTTCTTAGATTCACATATGAATTTAGGCAGATTACATGTGAATGTCAACATCTTTTCGACTTCATATGTAAATTCGACATATCTAAATTAAAGATCGTTTATATAGACAATTTTCATTCATATTCATTATTGACATGTGAAAAGCAGTCATGTAGAGCAATAAATTGATAGATAATATACGATGCTTGTACATGATGACAATTTACATTGAATGTTAATGATCAAAAAACATATGCTTATGACTTGTACATAATGATAATTCACATTGAATATTAACTATTGAAAAAATATATGTTAACGACTAATTAGCGAATGAAGAATGATTAATAACTATTGAAAAAAAATGAGTACAATCATTCACATACGGATTAACTTTTATAAAAAAAAAAAAAAAAAAATGCTACACTTCATATTCACATTTGACAATGTGACTTGAACTAATATTTTGAAGAAAAAATAGTTATATATATATATATATATATATATATATATATATATATATATATATATATATATATATATATATATATATATATATATATATATATATATATATTGATACAAAAATGTCTATTAATAATGGTTAAAAAATTATGAATTTTAATTTTTTTTTTCCAGTTAAAAGAAACTGAAAAAGGATGAGTTTTTATGTATATAATTGGTATATATGTAAAAATTTAAAAGGATAAATATAAAGATAACATTGGTTTCTTAGTTCTTTTTTTTTAATTATATAGTACTTTTGTAAATCATGTATTCAACTTTTGTCTATATATAGTACTTTTGTAAATTAACATTGTTGATATACGAAAAATAGGATCTATAAGCTCCAAATTGGCCGCTTAGACTCGCATCGAATTCATCTCCCAGAAATATTTAAACTATAATCACTAGATTGCCAGTTGCGAATTCAAGAAAGAGAGAAATGTCTAGAATTCATCCATCTTTGGAAAACAAAAGCGGATTAAATCGCCTAACAAGCGATGATCATGATCATCTGGACCCGATTCCAGTTCCAGTTTCAAGTCCAAAACACACGACTCTTACTGTATGGAAACGATCAAGCATGAGCTTCCATGGCACTGATGGGTTCACTGTGTATGATCGCAATGGAAAGCTGGCTTTCCGCGTTGACAACTACTCCAGGAACAGCCATGTTCGAAGCCGCTGGTCTTGCTCTTCTGTTAACACTAACGGTGGCGCCGGATGTGGTGGTGGTGGTAGCGGTGGTGGTGCTCTTGTCCTCATGGACGGATCCGGCAATCCTTTAATTACCCTCAAACCACAGGTACGTATATCTTCTTAATCATGTATGAATATGCTGAGATATATTGATTACATATTATCAGATTTATATTTATAGAAATTCAGATTTTCAGTATTCAAAACCAGTGGAATGGATGTATATATAGAGAAGATGATAACATATCATCAAAGAGCAACAGAAGAATCTTCATGATGAGGAGACCATCGTCGTCTATGATGGCTTTAGGAAGAACAAAACACGAGCAAGATGAATGCGAGGCTGAAGTCTTCTTCACAGGCACGACAACCGAGCACCAAAACCATCATCATGCAGAATCGGAAACCGGTGGCGGCGGTGGTTGTGATTCAAGAAAACTATTACGCAAACCTGATTTCAGAATAGAAGGTTCGTTTTGGAATCGTAATTGCAAGATCAAGAGCACCGGTAGCGGAGAAGTGGCGGCAAAGATTATGAGGAAGAGAACAGCTCCGGGAGCGGCGATGATGAGTGGTGGCAGTAGCAGCACTGGTAGTACGATAATGTTGAGTGAAGAGGTATTTACCCTGGTGGTGAAGCCAGGTTTCGACCCTCAACTCATCATGGCTTTTGTTGTTGTTCTTGATCGGATATGTTTCAAGCCTTTTTTCACTCATCTCATGTGTTAATTAATTTGTCATGTGTTTGCTTCAAGATGTACAACTTGTTATTCATCCCTTTGTTTGAAACAGGATTCCATTCATCAACAATAGCACTTTAAATGTAAGGTGGATGGTAGCTTGTTGCAAATCTATTCATTAATTACTGTCTATGATGCATCGGTTGAAGGAATCAATCTTGTTATGATGGATGATCCAAATTAAACATGGATTCTGAAAAGAAAATGCTTGAGGAATTTACAAAGACCGTTTAAAGATTGTATTTTCATTTCAACGACTTACATAAAAGTATATGAACACTGTTAAAAGTGTTCGAGCCGATGACATATACCTTTTACCAAGATGACATGCAATTTGAGAAAATTGTTTATTCTAGCAAATATGTTATCACATTTATTTTGTGGGCATGTCATCTTTAAAGAGGTGGATCTACTTGTTGGCATTGAAACCCCTCATATTTTACCATCTATAAATTCGTCAAAATCTGTCACAAACCGTCGAAATCTGTCACGTATCCTCCGTTGGAAATCTATACAAAGTTCTAATAAGTGTAAATTGAGTGTAAATATATCGGTTTTATCTTTTAGTGATGGATTTTACAATGAAGACTATCGTTCAATTTTTTTTTAATAAGGCAACCCCTTGATATATTATATATTTATTTGTGTCTGCTGCTAAACCTTATATCGAAAATCTCATGATCTATTTTGGACACATTGAGTGAAAAAAGTCTTTAAAATTGGTTGAAATGTGATAACAATTCTGTCGCAAAACCGTGATAATTAAACTGAACGGAGTGTCGCTGTCACGATGGAGCTTTTAAGTTTTGCAATGGAAGACATCGTCGCTAATCCCATAATCCTGTAAATTTTGTTTCCCACCCACTACGATGCCAACCAAATAGCAACAGGGGTTTCATATGTTAATAAATATTTAGCAACAAAAAGAATTTAGCGAAGAATTAGTGAAAGATTAGCAATGGTTGGACGGTTTATTCGTTTAGCGATAAAATGCAGTTAACTTATTTGTTTTCTTAAACAATTTTTTTTAAATTATACAATCAACACGATGATTTGGATGTTAAGAGACATTATCGATCATGGAACTAGATATAGTATAAATAATTAACTAAACTCACAACATTCAAAGATTACATCTTTTAAGCAGTGTTGTAAACTCGGCCTACTTAGCCGATTACTCACAACCACCTATATGTTGAGGTCATTTTCTAAGAATCAGGCAAAAACCTCGGAATCGGTACTCGGGATCAACTCAGAGAAAATCAGTCTAACTCGGTCAACTCAGAAAACTCGGCCAAACTTGGAAATTTTGATATTTTTTGTAATAAAAAACTGTAATTGTTATTGGTATTCATCTATTTTGTTATAAGTTTTAATAAATTTATGATATTTATTATATATAAAAATTTCTAAAACTTATTTCTTTAGAATTCACTCAATCTGAGTATTCCATGTCTAGACCGAGTACTAACTACTCGCTACTAGAATGACCGTGGAGGCCTAATGACTTTGGTAACACTACTCTTAAGCACACCCTACAAATGTTATGGCATCCTCTCTCTCTCTCTCTCTCTCTCTCTCTCTCTCTCTCTCTCTCTCTCTCTCTCTCTCTCTCTCTCTCTCTCTCTCTCTCTCTCTCTCTCTCTCTCAAACCCATATCTCTAATTACATCTTCTAAGTTTTCTCTTGTCATCCACCATGAAGAACTTCACATCCCAATATTATTGGCCTCACCGTTCAAAATTGATGACGAGACTCTGAAATCCGAATAAGCAAGTAGTCATGAATAAGAAAACTCAATGAGACATCGTAGTGAGAAGCAACGACAATGAAATCTGTAAACTCAAATGTTTGGTGGTCGATAAGTGTTGATGTGCTCTAGGCTATGAACCAAGGTAGAAAAATCTCCAATGGGAATAATCAGCCTCAACTATCGAAAGTAATCTAAAAAAATATGGCATTTTAGTGAAAACCCATAAAAAATACCCACTTTAGAATCAAGCACTCCGAATCACTTTTATGCACCTCAGACAATTAAGAGCTCCTGTCAATATCACATTAGTCTTCAAAATGAATCATGAAAAACATCTAGTAATGCCATAATCACCTAAAAGCATTATGTGAGGAATCAAAAACTTGATTCTCAGCCAAACTCATTCAAGGAGAACTAAACTTGGGTCAATCAAAGCACGTAGTCATCACATGAAATAAATTCTGAAATATGCTCACCGAGACACAAAAAGTACACAACTTCAATAAATCTATTTCAAGCTTAACAAAAAAAAAATCAAGATTTGAGAAATAACAATCTTCTTTTGAGTGACCCTATCAAAATCTTCCCCTTTTTGTAATTGAAATATGATTATAAAATCTTGAAATGGTCATGAGAATATGTTGGAATCATATATGTCAAAGTAAAATCCCCTTGATATGAGAATAAACGTGAAGCACCAAATCTGAAAAATTCGAAAAATATGACATTTAACAATTTTTGAGTTATCAGAAAACCTTTGACTTGCATCTAAATCAAGAAATAGTTTGCTCACTTGAAATATTCTTGCAAAAATATTAGATATGATCATCTAAAACATCAACTCAGCCAACTCAGAAAACTCAGAAAAATCGGAAAAACTCAAGATTTTTGATATTTCTGTAATAAAAAACTATAATTGTTATTAGTAATCATCTGTTGTGTTATAAGTTTAATTAACTTATGATATTTGTTATATATATATATATATATATATATATATATATATATATATATATATATATATATATATATATATTGAAACGTCCCAAAATACGATCCAAATTTTTTTGTTAAAATAATACTAAAACCATAACATCGAATGCCATAAAATAAAAATCATACGTCACTATCTCAAAACCATCATAAAGTGTCGTGATAAAAACTGTATCAAACCATGTCAAGTCATATTTAAGAAAAACTAAACCAACTCCCGGGATAAAACTGAAGCCGTGGTGTGTGCGATGCCATCATCCCGGGCTCTTCCCTTTACTTGCGGAAGTACCTGAAACCAAAACTGAAACTGTAAGCACGAGCTCTTCCCTTTACTCACTGAGTCCACCTGCAACTTAGTGGTTCCACTCGGCATAACCCAAAAGGGGAAAATCGGGGACTCGTGGCTCGACTCGCCAAGTCTGAAGAACAACTCGCCGAGTTGCTTCCATGCAAACACTATACAGTCGATTCTGATCAATTTCATTGCATTCAACTTATAGATCTCGGTTCCTAAGGCTTGTTTCACACGTAAAGTTTCCAACTTTACGTGTGTATATGCATCAATGAAGGTTTAAAGGCTCTAAAGGGACCAAAAGTGTAGATCTAGGGCTTTTTATGCAAGAATGGTCCCATAAAGGCAGTAGATCTGAGCTTCTAGAGCTCAGACATGGGTAGATCAGATGGCTATTCATCACCACATGTTCTCCATACTAATGCCAAGCCAAAAATGGCAAAACAAGCCAAATAAGAGATCTAATTGAAGAAGGACAAAGGTTTGAGCTTGATACCTCAAAGAAGACTGTAATGTAACAAGGAAATCGAATCTACTTTGCTCCCCCTTGATTCCTCCTCTTCTCTTCTCTTCTTCTAGCTTTAAATGCACCAACAACTTGCACAATATGAGAAATCACACCACAAATGATAAGGAACGGCTAGGGTTTTAGTATGGAACTCTCTATGGGTGAGGGAGGCTGATTAGTGAACAAAAAGTTGTTTAAATAAGGTGCAAACCCTTAGCTTTAGGGTTTCATCCAGACTGGCGGATTCGCCGAGACCAAGCATATGGAC